GGTTCACTCTGTCTTTCAACTGATTCACATTGTCTGCATCTCCCAGCCCAGCCTCAGAATCTTGCTTGAGATTCTGAAGACCAAGCAGCACTAGGCACCCAGGCTACATTGCAGACAATGTAGAAGGGCATTCCCCTGCACCTTCTGAAGCTGCACTGTCACTGCTCTGACAGTGAGTGAACCCCAACCCTCACTGCTCGGTGCTGCTCCTTTCCACATGGGCAGGTTGAGGAAAGAGAAGACTAACAGGGATTCCAGCTCTGTTCCAGTGACCCATCCTGTCTCCCTCATTCTCACATCTTCCCAACCCATGATGGGTTATTACCTTCTCTAAGGTCCCCTCCAACCCCAGCAGCCCTGGGTTCCAGGTCAGAAGAGAGCTGCTTCGGCTCCCATCTCCTCTCTAACCGACAATTTCCTTCCTGTGTGCTGGCATTCACCTCTGCTGCACTCCCACCTGCCTCCCCTTCCTGGATCACACTGGGCATGTTCCTCCCAGGGGCCACAACACAGGCTGTCCTCTTTTCCTGGACACTGTTCCTGTGGATATCAGCTGAACTGCTTACTCACCTCCTCCCAGTTGTCACCAGGAAAAGGCAAATCAAAACCACAAGATATCACTTTGCTCCAGCTAGGCTGCCTAAAGTAGAAAAGTTACATGACAGGACAGGCACTAAGGCGGGCAACTTACGTGCTGTTTTTGAAGTGGCTGCATCTCATAATGAAATTCCTGAGTTAGATACTTGAGGTCAGTGTTCTGACTTGTTGCACCAACTTCTGGCTGATGCAGACCCCGCAGGGCAGTTGTGACAGCCCAAGAAATCTGGGCTCCTGTCACCTACTTGGGAGACCCAGGTAGATTTCAAAACCCTAACTTTGAATCTGCCAACCCCACTATTGCAGGCATTTGCGGAATAAACCAGAAGATGGGAGCTCTATTCTCTCTCTCTCTCTCCCCACTCACTAGGTTTCAGCCTCATAAATAAATAAATAAATAAACAAAATTTTTAAAGATTGATCTTCTGACATGTTCTGAGATGAATTTTTCAATACTTTATAGTAAGTGTTGGCAGAGGCATAGAGAAAGTGTGACTCACACACTAGTGATGGAGTACAACTTCGTGTGGCAATCAAGTCCTAAAATGATTGGACACTGAAGTTATCATTCAACCCAGTTACTGCACTCCTAGAGGCATACTCAAGTGAAATATCTGTACATGTTCACTTAGGAACTTGCATGTGAATTATGGCAGCATGGTTCATAGTAGCCAGGGAGAGGGGAGATAGCAGGCCAAAAAATGGCTGAATTGATAAGAAGCAGCTGTAGAATGCATGTTCCAAGTAGCTGAACCTTGGACTGCTTGTGTGAAGGAAACCATTGATTCCACCAGCAAGAAAGTCCTGAATAGGGAACTCTATAGAGATGGGAAGTGGATTAGTTATCACTTACAGCTGAAGAAAAGTGGCATTGGGAAAAAGTGTGGCAGTTGAAGGTACCAATTTTCTTTTGACGTGATGGCAATGCCTTAAAATCTATTCTTTTGATGGCCATTTCTACCTGAACTCTGCATGAATAATACACTGTGCACTTCAAATGAATCAGATACATATAGCACATGACTTTTATGTCAGGAAAGCTGTTTTTTTCATAATTTATTTAATTTTATTTGAAAGATAGACTTTACAGAGAGAGGACAAACAGAGAGGTGGGGAGGAAGGTTTTCAGTCTGCTGATTCACTCCCCAAATGGCCAGAGCCAGGAGCTTTCTCATGATCTCCCATGTGGGTGCAGGGATTCAAGGACCTAGGCCATCCTCTGCTGCTTTCCCAGACCATAAGCAGAGAACTGGATTTGGAAGTGTAGCAGCCAGGACACAAACCAACACCCATTTGGGATGCCAGCTCTAGCAGTCAGAGGATTAGCTACCTTTTAAAGCGTGCATTGGAAGTATTAAAAAAAATGGCAAGTGCCTTTGTGACCACACTGACCTTGTTCTGAATTCCATCTCCATTGTTTACCAGACCTGGGGCTTGAATAAGTCACTTGGATTCCACAGGACTCATTTTTCTTGTCTGTAAAAGGAATATAGTGGCCATGTCCACCTTATAGGTTGAATTTGACAATGAGATCAAGCATATCAATTTTCAGTATTGCCTTGTTTATAAGCAATAAACTAATGTTATCCAGCTACATGATGCCAGGGCACACCTGGCTAAAGGTAGACAAGTGATGTGAATGCTGAGACGCTCAAGGACTACTAAGCTACCTGTAAGGTTTTGTCCACTGATGAAGACAAGGGTCCAAACCATGGGGACACACCTGCAGTACAGTTAGCTCTAGATATTTACCTGCAGGATGAGGGAGCTGTGGTATTGCTCAGATTCTGACGGACTGTCCTCTGTAAAACGGAGCAGTGACCTGCTCCCCCTCTTCCACACATTCCCTTGAAGGAGTTTCAAAGGAAAGAAGGATGGACAGAGGTAGAGTTGTGACACTCAAACAATTCAATAATAAGTAATAAATAATGGCTTTAAAATGAGCCAAAGGGAGTTGGACATTTGGTACAGCAGTTAAAACGGGACGCCTATATCCCTATCATGTAGCCTGGATTTAAATCCAATTTCAAGTTGTTGTTAATACTACCCCAGGGGGCAAAAGATGACAGCTCAAACAGTGGGGTCCTTGCCATGCCTATGGGTTAATGATCTGGGCTGATTTCAATCTATCCCAGTCCCAGTTGCTTTTTTTAGAGACTTGGAAAGTGACCCAGACCATGAAAAATCATTGCCCCACTACACCATCTCTCATAAAAAGAAAAAAAAAAAATCAATAATTTGAAGGTGAAAATAAACAAATGATTTAACTAACTTTTATTTTTGTTTTCAGATTCATTTTGAATATCAGAGTTACAGAGAGAAACCAAAAGACAGATATAGATAGAGATCTCACACCCACTGGTTCACTCCCAGATGATCACAAGAGCCAGGCGAGGTCAGGCCTGATCCAGGAGTTGCATCCGAGTCTCCCATGTGGGTGGCAGGAGCCCACATACATGACCCATCATCTGCTGCTTTTCTGGACCACTATCAAGGAGCTGAATAAGAAGTGGAGCAATTGGGACATGAACCAGTGACCACAGGGGATGCCAGTGACATAGGCAGCAGCCTTACCTGCTATGTTACATCACCTCTAAACATTTCTTAAAATAAAACACACACGGGCCCCGGCGCGGTGGCGCAAGTGGTTAAGGTCCTCGCCTTGCACGCCCGGAATCCCATATGGGCACCGGTTCTACCGCGGCAGCCCCGCTTCCCATCCAGCTCCCTGCTTGTGGCCTGGGAAAGCAGACAAGGAAGGCCCAAAGCTTTGGGACCCTGCACCCGTGTGGGAGACCTGGAAGAGGCTCCTGGCTTCGGATCAGAATAGCATCGGCCATTGCGCTCACTTGGGGAGTGAATCATCGGACGGAAGATCTTCCTCTCTGTCTCTCCTCTCTGTATATCCGCCTTTCTGATAAAAAAATAATTTAAAAAAAAAAATAAATGAAACACACACATAGTCAACAAGTATATGAAAAAATGCTCAATTAATCATGAAATATAAATTTATATCACAATTAGATATCATGTCCTGCATGTTAGAAGGGCTAATATGAAAAAGACAAAAGGGAAATGTTGGAGAGGGCGTGAAGAAAAAGGAATCCTCTTTTACTGCTATGGGAGTTTAAGTTAGTATAGTCATTAGGGAAAACAATATGAAGATTCTTTAAAAATTCTTTTAAAAGAACTACTATTACAATTCAGCAACTCACCAGTGAGTTTACAGCCAAAGGAAATGAAATCAGTATGTCAAAGAGACATCTGCAGCCCCATGCTTATTACATTATTATTCACAATAGCCATGATACATGTGAAATCATGCATCCATCAATAAGATGAACAAAGACAAGGAAAGCAGTACATATACACAATAGAAAACTATTTAATCTTTTAAAAATACCTATTTATTTTAAATGCAGAAATACATAAGGAGGAAGAAAGAGAATGTCTTCCATCTACTAATCCCTACGCGGCTGCAAAGGCCAGGGCGAAGCCAAGCCAACACCATGAGTCATGAACTCCATTCAGTTCTCCCACATAGGTGCCAGGGTCCCGAGTGCTTGGGACACCATCCATTATTTTCCTAGATGCATTAGCACGAATTTGAATCAGCAGTGAAACAGCTGGGACACAAAATGGCAGCATGGGTGGTGGCTTACCCTGCAGGGCCACAATGGTGGCCCCACACAGTCTTTAAGAGGGAAGACCTGTCATTTGCCAATAGTGATAAATGAACTGGTAGTATATTATGTTAAGTGAACTAATCCAGGCTAGGAAAAATAAATATTGTATATTCTCAGATGTGAAATCTAAGAAAGCCAAGCTCTAGCAGAGAGCAGAGTGGTGGTAGCTAGAAGTGGTGTGGGCAGGAAGATGGAAATGCTGGTCAAAGCATACAGAATTTCAGCTTGATGGGAAGAATATGTTTAGCAGATCTACTACACGTGGTGGTAACTGTAATTAAGAATCATGTGTATTCTTGAAGTTCCCAAGGAGAGTAGATTTTAAGTATTTTCAGCAGAGGTGACATGCATATCCTTCATTTGAATGTAACTATTCCATAATGTATACACATTTCAAAACAACATGCTGTGTACTACATATATATATACATATAATATTTTTGTCAATTAAAATAAGCGAGCCTTTCAATGGGAAATAAACCAATGAAATTATCTTTGTGAGTGCCTGAAGGTCATGGTATACAGGAGACAAACCTACAAGTGCCTAGCAACCTTGCCCTCCTGCTCTGGAGTAGGCTGCCTTTCTTCCTGGAAAGCAGGTGGCTGGTGCTTAGCAGCCATGATGTTAGTAAAGTGTGTTTCATTACACAATAAATGTAATTTGCCCATTAAATTTGATTTCCAACCATTCATACCCCTAGTTGGTCTTGGGTTGGTATGTTCTCAGCATTATCAATCAGAAAAGGGGCATTGAGGCCACCATTGAAGCTTGTGAGATTTTTGATAAAATTGAGTCAAGCAACTGTAACCTTTAAATTGAAGTATGGAGCACAGGTCCATGGAACTATCGCAGATGTAGATCTTAGCATGAATGTATACCTTAAAGTGACCCTGAAGCTGAGCTGACTGTACCCACTGGTGCATAAGCCAGAGTGGGTGAGGGTTGGTTGGGCTTTGCCACAGCATTAGCTGGCAGATCCCAGCACAGAGTGCTAATTTTGTCAAGGTGAACTACGTAACCACCTGGACAGTGCATGATCTGGGAGTGGGAGAGGGCCCAGTAGGGAACCTGTGGGCACCTCCCTCTTGGGGTGTCACTCCCACTGGTGAGCATGATAACCAGGACTAGGGGTAGGCATGGCTAGACAGAGAGTGGCACCTGCTGGCACATGTGTGGGCTGGATAGTTGCGTTGGATAGTCGGGCTGGTTAGATTGAACTAGGCTTCAATGTCCATTGACATGTATGAGAGCTAAATGCGATATAGGACAGAATGGACCAATCTGCTGTACACACTAGCAATCACAGGAACCAGGGCAGGGCACAGGCCTGGTGGAAGTTATTGTGGATCACTTCAACTAGGCTGCAGCTCCCATTGGTTTACGTGAAGGCCAAGTGTGTGGTGGGCAGGATCAGGGTGGGCTGCCACAACCATTGCTTTGCATAGTAAATGGGGTGGGGACAGAACTGACCCAGGAATCACAACCACTAGTGTGTGCATAGGCTGAATTGTGTGACAGACTGTGCCAGACCCTGTACTGGCAAGCACACACAAGAATCAGGTCTGGGATACCTCAAACAAAGTTTCTTAGGGTATCCCCCAAATTAAACCACTGAGCTCAGAACTCCAACCATGGAGAAAATTGCAGGGTCCATTGTCTAACTGTGGAGTGCATGTGTCAAAGCTGGGCCTCCTCAGTGGCTTAGACAGAACAGTGGAAAGCATAACCAGATGAACATGGAGGATATGGCAGTACATTGCAGAGGATGGATCCTACAGAGGATAGAGGACAGAACAAATTGAACTAACTTAGCCAAGCGTTGGCAGTGAATATCTTAACAAATGGAGACTAAAGTGGACTACGTCAGCCAGTGGATTCTGGAGGGATTTCATTGTGCTTGGAGTAGCAAGATCAACAGCAGTTCAGAACCATTGAACTATCAAAACCACTTAAGCAGGACCCTCAGAGCATGCCCCATGTCAGGAACCTTGGGATGGCATCAGTGGCCGCCCCCATCCTAGGGTACTAAGCCGGTTGAGAGGCTGGGTGTGGATTCTTCTCTTATATCCCCTCTTCCCCCAGATACAGGAAGGAAAAAATGGAATGCATAAACAGTGATCTCACCACTTTGTTCCAGCCCTTGACCCTTCCCATCCTAACCAACTATGTAAACATCATCAAAAATAAAATGACCCTGAAGAATAGAGCCCATACAGCTGGAAATACTAAGTATATGAGGAAACAACATCCAAATATTTAATTCTTTCAGCTGGATTACCTCTGGACACACTACTCAGAGATGTTGAACCCAAGGTGAAATCTAAGAGAAGGGAAGCTGTTGCAGGAAGAGGCCAAGGCAGATACAGAGGAAGAGGACGCGGCCATGGCAGCAGACAAGGAGGTCCCAGGGGATGTCTCTCAAGATTACTGTTTCAGAGTGATGCATGATTCTGCATTCTTTTTTGGTACATGTTTTGTTTATGTCACTTTTACATAAATGTTAAGTGTTGGGGGGGGGGGATATTAAATTCACCCTCAGACAGCCATGCATGGGAGCCAGCTGGAAACAACTGAACTGAGACAGTTTCTCACATGTCTTCCCCACTCCATGTTCAAGGCTATGTCTTGAATTTAGCCATAAAAGAGGTTTCTACACCACAGAAGCCGGCAATTATTAGCAACCAGGGTGTTTTCCTTCTGTAAAACTGTCCTTTAAACAGGTACAGAACATCACTGGCAGTGGGAAAGACAACAAAAGGTGGAAGCAGAGGGAGGGACCACAGAAACACCAGCGGAAACCCACTCCAAGGCCCTTGGTGTTGAAGAGAGCAGATCCCACTGCTAGAGTAGTTGTTGTTCAACGTGCAATGCTATTCTCCTTCCTTCTCCCTTCCCTTCCACAGCCTTCGATCCATGCTTATTACTGAGGCATGTGATGTGTCTGTCTCCCCTGAAAGGTAGAGTAACAGCTGACACTGGACTTCATCCTCAAGGCCATCCCTGTGGAGGAGCCATGCCTGGATGCTGAGTGCTGAGGGGGTGGGATGCCCACACACAAGGAGGGCTAGGAGGCTGGGACAACAACTCACACACAACAGTTTGGGGCCTATAAAACTCTATACCTTGGACCCCTAGGTATCAGCTGAAAGAACAGGTGCAGCGTTAAGGCTGTGATTCCCCTCAGGGCTAGGTAACCACAGCAGATGGGGACTAAAGACAAAGTGAACACTCTTCCAGTGCCTGGAAACCAGTGGGCACAGTAAATACACACTGAAGGGAAAACAATCCATGCTGCTTTCTGTCAACTCATTAAGGTCTGATTTCCCTTCCTGTTCAGAGTCTAGATCCTGAATTAGAGGAAGAGGCCCAGAGCCAATACACCTGGTGTTATCACTAGTGACCAGCTAAGGTGAGTCTGGAGCCCAGAGCACCTAATTCCACCAGGAGTGGTCAAGGCTGGCTTCCTGGGGCCATGGTAGCTGTTCCTGGGAGGATCAGATTAAGAAGCCACAGGGGATGGCAGAGAGGGGCTGAGCAGGCTGCAGGAATGTCATTCTTGGGCGCTTAAAGGGCAGTGGAGCCTCTGCAAACGGGGCATCATTTTTCCTAGTACCCACCTCCCGCTAGGACCCCCTTCCTCTCTGTGTCCCTAGACAGGTGGTCTCCAAGGCCTGTGGGTCAGTTCTGGGGTCCATTGGTGGAGACTGAAGAGCCTGCAGTCCCCTGTGGGGGTGGACAGCAGTGACCCAAAGCCCTGGGGTAGGAGAATGTTGTTCTGACAACACAATTCGTGCTCCCCAGAGGAACAAAGATGTTGAGAACTGGGGAACAAGAAGTGAGATCATGTCACAAAGGAAGTTCAGTGGAAAGGTTCGTGACTGATGTGGTCTGGTTGTGAAGGTCAAGGACACACTAATGTTGGACAGGCACCCTGGTAGGTTTTGGGGGAGAGCAGGAGCTGGAGAGGGGGCTGGGCAGATCACAGCCAGACGTATCTGCACAAGGGGGGCCTCATTCAGACTCAAACACTGAGCAATGCCAGAGAGGGCTTCCAACTTGCAGACGATGAGGACCCACGATCCAGTTGCAAGATCACCAAAGCCTGTCGCAGCAGTGTCTTCTGCAAGTCTGGGCTGAAGCTCAATGCGTAGACCCGTTTGCGCTTCACTGAGTGCATGAGGCACCTGAGGCTGCTACAGACCATCTTGTGGCCCAGCAGCTGCTGAGATGCAGCCATGGGTCTGGGGGAGGGGACATGCTGCCTGGGAGAGGCCTGGTCTCTTTGCTCACTGTGGCTTCTCAGGGTCTGCAACTATCTTGCTAGGGGAGACTTGCTTCCCTCCGTCAATGCACTGGGACTTGCAATGACCATCAGTCTAGGAGGCAGAGATGTGGTAGTAGGCTGGGCTCTGCCACTGACACATGTCCCAAACCTCAGTGAGACAGCAGTTTCCTTTCAGGAATGGGCAGGATTGATTCCCCATGCCTCCCACAGGTGGGTTGCCAGCAGGCACATGGAAGGAGGTGACCATGGCTTGGCTGCCTGGAGAGTCTCTTGAGCAGATGCAGCAGATCCTGAGCAGCAGGTCCATGAACTGGACTCTGCTCATGGGACTCACCCTGGGGCAGGCTCCCTTGTCACAGCACAGGAGCTCATTCAAGTTTCATTCTGGGTGCAGGACTGAGGCAGTGCCTTACCCCAGGGTGCTTCAGGTCAGGTTGCCCTGCCCCATCCTGCCCTGTCTGCAGTCCCCATCTGCTATGGTCACCTAGCCCTGAGGGGAAGCACCTGCTCTTCCAGCTGCCCTGCCTCACACAGAACAGTCCAGTCATTCTCAATCTTAGATACTAAAACAAGTGAGTTAAATAAACGACATTATTAAAATATATTACAGACTCTCGTAAAGCTTACCCAACAAGGAGAGCATAAGAAGTTCAGGGTCCTCTGTCCTAGCCTTCCCGGTGACTCTCTGGCAGCTGCACATATATTCAGGGTTTGTGCTTGTGCTCAGCAGATCACTGAGGGGAAGAAATGACCTCATTCTGTGGGGTGAGCCCACTCCCAGCTGCCCTGACTCACCCCAGTCCTTTGCAGCAGGCGGGTATTATTGCAGAGACGCATGTATGTGATGTGAAGCTCTGAGTCCTGAGTTTGAGGTCTATTCCAGGGCTCTGGCTCTGCCATAGGCACACAAATCTCAGAGGAGAATTAGAAGGAAGAGGGAGAGAGCCCAGATGGGGCAAGAGGCTGCCCAAGTGGCCTCTGCATGGCCAACAGCTGGAGCCCATGATGGGCATTTCCTGGATGTATCCATGTCATGTAAATCTTGGGGGATTTGTGAGTAATGAATGGATCTTGCCTTTGGATCAACCATTGGTAGTCCTAAAGGACTCTCACCCTCAGGCAGTCTCTCTCTCTCTCTCTCTCTCTCTCTCTCCAACCCCTCATCTACACCTTTTACCTCTGCTTGGCTCAAGCCCTCATCTCTGACTATGGATAGTACAATATCTCTTTCCGGTCCCTGTGGCTGGAGAGAATTCCAATAGTTTGGACTGCTCTAAATGGCCCAGAGCATGCATCTCTGATCCTGCCTCACCCCTTGCCAAGAGCTTCAGGATCCACAGAATTCATTAAAGATGACTCAGCCTGGCAGGTGGTATCACTTACAGCATTGCACTTAGAGTGTGGACACAGACTAGGAGCTCTGGCATCACCTGGGTCCTGTTAGGGAGTGCAGAGTCTAAGTACCCCCAGTCAACTGACTCTGAAGCTGTTCTGTTACAAGATGGCCAGGTGAATCCCCTGCACAACCAGCAGGCTGCTTTCAGTCTATTTTCTGCTTTCATGACACACACATTTATGGAATCTCATAGATGGACTATAGCTCATAGGTGCAACAGCTCATCAAAGTCACGCATATACATGGTTTCCAAAATGTGCTAAAAGGTCACAGGCCCCACTAGTCTCAATCTCTCTTCCCCCAAAGGAAACCGCTTCTAATATTATTTTTGCTTTTCCTTTTCTGTGGTGACTTCTGTGTCCCTAGGCAACAATTAGTAAGCCTTTTCTGGGGTTTTCAAGCTGAATTGTCACCCAAAGACTTCCCACTGCTCTAGGAGGTTTTAATTCACTCATGCTATCCCAGTCCCCTTTGCTACTCAGCACCAGCAGTGGCAATTGCTCCTTCCCACTACTGCTTTCCACCCACTATCTGCTGAGTCTCAGTTGTCTTCTTGTATTGAGAAACAGGGGCCCAGCATTGCAGTGCATCAAGATAATCCTCCTCCTGCAGCATTGGCATCCCATATGGGTGCTGGTGGGTGTCTCAGATGCTCCACTTCTGTCCCATTTTCCTGCTAATGCACATGGGAAGGCAAAGGAAGATGGCCCAAGAACTTGGAGCCCTATCACTCTTGTAGCAGACCAGGGTTGGATGCCTAGCTCCTTGCTTTGACTGGACCCAAGTTTTAGCTGCTGCAACCATCTTGGGAGTAAACCAAGAGAAGGGGAGATCTGTATGTGTCTATAGTCTATCTTTGCGTGTGTATGCATGTCTGTGTGACCTTCTCCATGTCACTTTGCCTTTCAAAATAAATAGATCCTATAGGAAGGGAAGGGGAGAGGAGGGGGACAAGTATTACTTCATTATTTTGTCACTTTTCTATTTACTTCATATATACTTTTTGGGTATATAAGACATTTATACATGGTTTCATACTTGTATATACTTAAGCAACATAATAAAATAATTTAAGTCAACAATGAGTACTGATAACTTTAAAGGTACTCTTTTTCTGGACTAGAAAACAAACTTTTACTGATTATGAAAACAAGCAAAGGTAAAGGGACACTTTATAAGCAAAATGCCAACACTTAATTAACAATATGAAGTATAATTAATGATGCAAAAGCCCCCAATAAAAATATTTTAAGAAATAGGAAATTAAAATAAACTACATTAGCTGAGGTTTTCTCCAATAATGCAAGACTGAAACCCTATTCACATGTTATTAACACACAATAAAGAGCAAAACCACATAATATATTCAAAGATACTGGAAGTAAATTATAAAATGTGACATTTTATTTGTGGTAAACCTTTTTGTAGGATTGAATTGGTACATACCTTCCTACGGTAATGCATGTGTTCTCTGACCTTCTAAAACCTTTCACATTGAAGAAACCATTTATATTAAAATTCTCAATGAAACAAAATATTTTTTTCATCTTTGTCTTTTATTTTGGCTTTGGGGGTGGTATTAATAATGCAATTATGGTACAGAAAGGAACTATTCATAATAATTGGAAAGAAACACAAGCTCTCTCTTTTAATTACATGGTTACTTACACATAATTTCAATGGGCTAAGTAAAAACTGCTTCAAACAACAGGGAAATGTAATGACATGGCTTCCAATATAGTACCCACACTTTATTTTATTGTTTTC